TCTCAACCAAAAAAGACTTAGTAGATAAACTTTTGTTGTTGGCTGTGAAGTACCACTTTGAATTCAGAGTGGTAAAATCAACCAAGACTTTGTATGTTGTTGCTTGTATTGAGAGGAATTGTCCTTGGCGTTTGAGAGCGGTGAAGACAGAAAGTGGTGAATTTTTTGTAGTACGTAAGTATGATGGTAATCACACTTGATCTATGAGTGTGCGCCGAAAAGATCACAGGCATGCGACGTATAAGCTGATTAAGAATCACATTTCCGAAAAGTATAATGACGTCAATCGGATTTATAAACCGAATGATATTATTTTTGATGTCCAATAGGAGTTCGGAATAACTATCAGCTATACAAAACCATTTATGGCAAAGCATTATGGATTTGGTCTCATTCGAGGTTGCCCAGAAGAAAGTTACGTAAAGCTCCCTCAATATTGTTACGTTTTGGAGCAAAAAAACCCTGGGACGGTCACTTTCATAGAGACAAGTGTGGATGGCCATTTTAAATATTTTTTCATGGCTTTGGGACCGTGCATTCGTGGATTCCGCTTTTCCATCATAAGAGTAATATATGTGGATGGTACATTCTTGACCAAGAGATATCGTGGTACTTTGCTCATTGCAACATGTCAGGATGCAAATCTTCAAATTTATCCACTTGCTTGGGCAATAGTAGACTCCGAGAACCATCTTTCTTGGACTTTCTTCTTTGAAAAGTTGAAAGATATAACAGGTGATTCTCCCGATCTTGTTATAGTTTCGGATAGTGGAACAAGTATTCATGGTGCTTTTAATACAGTGTTTGAACATGCACACCATGGATGTTGTAACTATCACTTGCTGAGAAACTTAAAATCTGAGTTTCCAAGGCTGGAATTGAATGCATTCTTTTGGGCAACAGCCGAAGCATACACGATACCTGATTTCGAATCCAACATGGCAGCATTATGCAATAATAATCAGGAAATGCGGACATACCTAAAAAAAGCTGATTTGCCCCGTTGGGCAGAGCACATTTTAGAGCAACTCGTTTCAACATAATGACAACAACAATGTTGAATCGTTGAACTTTGTGTTGAAGCGTGCTCGAGAATTTCCTATTCTTGGCCTAATTGAACATATCAGGGTGACACTGCAAAAGTGGTTCCACGAAAGAAATCTTGCCTCTACAAATTGCAGTAGCTTTCTTACCCCACCATTTGAGGAGAAAATGCGGAATAAATACGACGAGTCCAAAGGACTACAAGTGTTGCATGTAACACCAATGATTTTGCAACTTGGTGGAAGACATGTTGTTGATCTCGACCAAATGTCATGCTCATGTCGAAAGTTTCAAATGGATCATTTTCCATGTTCGCATGCCATTGCCGCAATAAAAATTTGAATAACAATGGCTACAATTTCTACACTTTTTTGTATTCGAGCTCTGCTTGGAGAGAGGCATACTCTGAACCCATTCACCCTTTGCCCAATGAAACCGATTGGATGGTTCCAGAAGAAATTATGTCAAGAATTGTGTTGCCGCCACCATCACGACGTCCAAGGGGCAGACCTACATTCGAAAGGAAAAAATCGGCAGGTGAGGCTCGAAGAAAATCAACTACTACTAAACCTCGCCAAATTCGTAAATGTAGTAGGTGTTCCAAAGTCGGCCATAATCGTGGAAGGTGTCCAGAGAAAAACCTCAATGAAGAAACTTGAAGTTATATTTTGATTAGTGTATTGCTTTTGACTTTTTAATCTTTTTGTATAGTGTTTTGACTCGGCCATATAGTGTTTTAACTTTTTGTTTGTTGTTGTTGATGTGTTCTCCAATTCATTAAAGTGAGTTGCTAAAGCTTGAAATTATATTTTGTCTTGTGTATAATTTTTTATGTGTATCCAATGTAGTGATTGTTGAAAATATTAAGGGTAATTGATTCACCTAATGTACTTATTGAACAATTGTTATAGGCAATTTCGAAACAAACGACTATAGTCTCGTTTTATAGTATTATATAGTAGTAGTACAATAAAAAATGCTAAAAATAACATTAGAACTAATGTACAGTCGTTATGAACTATGAAATAACGAAGGTACCTTCGTTATCATCATCGCGGGCGCGACATCTGTCACGGACGCGACACTGAAGCTGTAGATCGGTCAGGCAGAGAGGTTCCCAGGTTGTCGCGGTCGCGACGGTTGTCGCGGGCGTGACACTCTAGTGTTAATTTTGGACAGAAAGCTATCCAGGAGGTCGCTGGCGCGACAACGCTCGCAGGCGCGATAGGCGTCGCGATCTCGACACCAAATATCGAGCTCCAGAAGCCCGCGACGGCCCATCCCGGGCGCGACAGGATGGCTGTCGCGGGCGTTTTAATTTTTTTATTTTTTTTATTTTTTTTTGTGAAATAATGATACTTGTTTTCTTTTGGAAATGCATAGATAATGAAGAATCGTTGTATTTTATCGCGGGCTCGACCCCAATACTTGTTTTTCTTTTTGAAGTCACGACATCAATAGCTGTTTTTCTTTTGTTTTTGAAAAACGGATATATAATGTAGATACGTTGTTTATTCTTTATTTTACACTAAAAATGAGTACAAGTAGACCTATAACGAGTTCAATATTTATATAATGTATTATATGACGAATACACGATCTTTTAAGGTAGATTTTGTCAAAAAAACAAAAATAACGACTGTACATTCGTTATAACAAATGTACATTTGTTCTAGTTGTTTTTCTTAACTCACGTGCTTTCTTTACGGTTTTTTTTTTCGAGTTACTTGATAATGCTTGTATGTTGATGTTACATGTCATTGGAACGATAGTTTGAAGTTATTAGAGCGTCGAAACACTCACAACGAAACTCTTTTTTTGAAATAACAACACTTGTTATTTGTTTTTGTTTTTCAAAAATGAAAGATGATGTAGAATCTTTGTAAATTCGTTATTTTACATGAAATAATAAATAAAATGAGACCCATAACGAGCTTTATAACGTGTTATATGACGGATGCACGGTCTTTTAAGGCGCATTTGTTACGAAAAACAACTATAACTAATGTACATTAGTTATAACTAATGAACATTCGTTATAGTTGTTTTTCGACCAAACCGCGCTTTCTTTACGGGTTTTTTTTTCGAGTTACTTGATAACGCTTGTATGTTGATGTTACGTGTCATTGGAACGATAGTTTGAAGTTATTAGAGCGTGGAAACACTCACAACGAAACTCTTGTTTTGAAATAACAACACTTGTTATTTGTTTTTGTTTTTCAAAAATGAAAGATGATGTAGAATCTTTGTAAATTCGTTATTTTACATGAAATAATAAATAAAATGAGACCCATAACGAGCTTTATAACGTGTTATATGACGGATGCACGGTCTTTTAAGGCGCATTTGTTACGAAAAACAACTATAACTAATGTACATTAGTTATAACTAATGAACATTCGTTATAGTTGTTTTTCGACCAAACCGCGCTTTCTTTACGGGTTTTTTTTTCGAGTTACTTGATAACGCTTGTATGTTGATGTTACGTGTCATTGGAACGATAGTTTGAAGTTATTAGAGCGTGGAAACACTCACAACGAAACTCTTGTTTTGAAATAACAACACTTGTTATTTTTTTATTTTTTTTTTTGTTTTTGAAAAATGGAAAGATGATGTAGAATCTTTGTAAATTCGTTATTTTACATGAAAAAATGAATAAAATGAGACCCATAACGAGTTTAACATCTTTATAACGTGTTATATGACGGATGCACGGTCGTTTAAGGCGCATTTGTTACGAAAAACAACTATAACGAATGTTCATTAGTTATAATTAATGAACAATCGTTATAGTTTTTTTCTTACCAAACCGCGCTTTCTTTACGGGTTTTTTTTTCGAGTTACTTGATAACGCTTGTATGTTGATGTTACGTGTCATTGGAACGATAGTTTGAAGTTGTTAGAGCGTCGAAACACTCACAACAATACTCTTTTTTTAAAATAACAACACTTGTTATTTGTTTTTGTTTTTGAAAAATGAAAGATGATGTAGAATATTTGTAAATTCTTTATTTTACATGAAAAAATGAATAACATGAGACCCATAACGAGTTTAACATCTTTATAACGTGTTATAAGATGGATGCACGGTCGTTTAAGGCGCATTTGTTACGAAAAACAATTATAACTAATGTACATTAGATATAACTATTGTACATTCGTTAGAGTTAATTACGACCAAACCGGTCTTTCTTTACGGTTTTCTTTTCGACACAACTATAACATTGTTGTTGGTCATATATCACCTATTAACGATAGTTTGGACCCGTTAGAGCGTCGAAATACTCATAAGAAACTCTTTTTGAAATAAAGGTTTTTTGTTTGTGTCGCGACCGCGACGGTTGTTGCGCCCGCGACTTCCTGAGAGGAAGTCTGTCCGCTCGTGTGTCGCGTCCGCGAGATGCGCCGCGCCCACGACATCCTGGGAGCCTGTCCGTCCGCGTGTGTGTCGCGTCAGCGAGATACGCCGCACCCCCGAGGTGCCGAAACTATATAAGGAGAAGAATCGTTGTTTTTCATTCTCCATTCCTCATTTCATAAATTTGAACTAAGAAGAAGAAAAAAAAAAACCTATCCGCCAACTTCCACATCCGGCCACCTACTCCGACCGGCGACAACACCACATCCGGCGACTTACTCCGACTGGCGAGGACACTCCCTCTTTCCGGCAACATAAATTCCGGCCAAGTTGTCTTCATAAAAGAGCCCTAATTCCCGAAATCCCATTTCGGCAAGGTTGTTTTCTCGACTTCACTGCACGATAAGGTCACTCTTATTGCTTGAAGAGTATGGTTTTTAATTTTTTGAGGTTGAGGAATCTTCTAACTCTTTCTTTATTAACAATTCTCAAACACATAATTCCGTACACAAGGTGTTCAACAAATTGCCACATCTACGGAAGAGGGCTATATTGTTTGAATCCACTATTTTCCTTCGAGAGTATCCAATAATCAAGCATGGGTAAGGCATCGTCATCGAAAGCTCCCAAAAAAGGCAAAGCCGAAGGCAAAAGAAAAGCAGTTGTGGAAACCCCACCTTCTTTACCGGAGTCGAACAATAGTAACTCGAACTCGGATACCGAAACTCAAACTTTGGCTCAAAAGCACAGCATTCCATTCCCAGTTTTCTCTCAAGATGAGGTGCACTCGTACAAACGCCTCATGAAGATGAAATGCCGGATCCCAAGGACACTTGATTGGGAGTTGCTAGATCGCTAAAAATCTCGGAAGACGTGAGGAAATACTTGAAGGCCCTCAATCTTGACAAGTACGAAGCCATGGACAATGTGGCATGCACGGAACTAGCGGTTGAATTCTTTACCAAATTTGTACCACAGGACAATGGCAAGTTTTTCACTTGCTGGATGAAAGGTAATGAATACAAGGTTGATAACAAGGTGATGCATGAGGTATTTGGTTTCTGCACAACGGGGTCTCGCAAAGTACCCGGTGATTTTGAGGTGGACAAGCCTTGGGCCGCTCTCTCTCTATGCGATAAATTCAAAGTCAATGGCCCATCGAATGGGCTAATCAAAGATGTGGCCATTGCGGTGGTACATAAATTTCTATGCTACAATGTTTTTGGCAAGAAAGATTCCAACAAGGTTAGCGAGCAAGAAGTTTATTTATTGTGGGCAATCTGTGCAAAGAAGCCCATATGCATGACTGCATTCGTTATAGAGACACTCTGGGGCACGAAAGTCTTCGCCACGCGCCCTCCGAGATTGGTCAATATCATCACCGGGCTCGCTAAGCACTTCAATGTTCAAATTGATGAAGTGCCGCTTCAACAAAAGAAGATTGTGTTGTGGGATTTGGTGAAATCCTATCTCGTTAAGGACAGCACCACGATCATTGATTTCAAACATCGTGAGTGCTACGAGGCATATTTGTCAGAGCTGAAGAAATCGTCCGGAGAAGGTGGTTCCTGGCAGCCACATCCTCATTCCGAGGACGAGGCGGAGGACGAAGGAGCACATACCAACCCGGCGGACTATTTCCTCCCTCCAGCAGTTGACACGGGCGTTGCGGACGCGCGATCTCAACAAGCCCCCGCTTGGTTCGATACATTCATTGAGCATAATGATAGGCGTTGGGAGGAGCACAACAAGAGGCTAGATACCTTTATTGAGCATAATGATAGGCGTTGGGAGGAACACAACAAAAGGCTCGATGAACGTTGGACCCAATGGAAGTCTCGGCAATTTGATCAGTGGATACAATGGGGCGACCAGTTCCAGCAATGAGATGTTCGCTTGAGTTCAGGCAGCAGGCTACCCTACCCTCCACCTCCACCTCCACCTCCAGCATCGGATGCACATGATGAACCGTGACAGTGCGTTGTTCTTAGGCAAAGACTTTTATTCCAGACTTCATAATTATCAGTTTTAGCTTTTGGATTTGGTTTGACTTATGGATTTGGTTTGTCTTTTTTGGATTTGTATTTTCTTATGGATTTGGATTGTCTTTTGGATTCGACATTTGATTTGGTTTGTCTTTGTGGATTTGATTTCTGATTTGTTTTGTGTTTTTTGAATCCAGTTGGCTTCAAACTTTGATGTGTTTGGTTTGTGTTTTGGTTTGTGTTTTAGAATCGACATTTGGTTTTGATTTGTGATTTCGTTTGTGTTTTGGAATCAACATTTGGATTTTCAGCGTTATTTCTTCTATTGCAATGTGGATTTGATTTCCAGTTTTATATAATGTAATATGCAACCAGGTCCTTGCGGGCGCGACTCGTCTCACGGCCGCGACACTGGCCCTGTTTTAGTTGGACAGAGAAGTTTGCCTCCATGTCGCGACCGCGATGGACGTCGCGCCCGCGAAACTCAAGTTATATTTTTTTTTTACAAACTAACAAATGTACATTAGTTATTTTGTACAATATAACTAATGTACAATCGTTATATTGAAAAAAATATATGTCGCGGTCGCGACTCGTCTCACGGCCGCGACACTGGCCCTGTTTTGGTCGGACAGAGAAGTTTGCCTCCATGTCGCGACCGCGATGGACGTCGCGCCAGCGAAGTTATATTTTTTTTTTTACAAACTAACGAATGTACATTAGTTATTTTGTACAATATAACTAATGTACAATCGTTATATTGAAAACAATATATGTCGCGGTCGCGACACGTCTCACTGCCGCGACACTAGCCCTGTTTTGGTCGGACAGAGAAGTTGGCCTCCATGTCGCGCCTGCGACACTCAAGTTTTTTTTTTTTTTTTCAAACTAACGAATGTACATTTGTTATTTTTGAAATGACTTGTAGTCGTTATCTCGATTTCATTTCGGGAGCTCGACATCGAACCCCTCGTTATTTATTACATTAAAAATTATCGTTACAGTAATATTTTTTAACCATTTTGATAAAATACTATTATAACCACTGCATTGGGATGTACGTAAAAAATACAACTTCAAAAATCGACCACCCGCATCATTGTATTGAAAGACACATGAAAAATAATACAGAAATGTATTATCCAAAAGATCCCTACAACCCGTTACATTATTGAATGTTTAAAACAAACTATGGATCAAAATGAGCACCAAATATTTCAGACTCTAGTTTAACACGCCAAGCACTAATCCGAGATTGATCGACGCCTTCAACATTCTTCCCAGCATGCAAAAATTCTATAAACTTGATAGTAAACATCCCACAATCAAACCTGCAACATAAATGTACAAATTCTATTACTTTACCAAGTTTCATAATACACTTAAAAACCTAATATGATCAAAATATATATTATACGTACCCATTGCTTTGGCTAGGAGATGTCAACCGTTTGTACTCAAACTTTTCACCACTGTAATTGACATTCAGCTGCGCCAGTAGCATCGGTACGACAACTCGAATGGGCTCAAGTTGCCTCACCAGTTTTGCCCTCCGCATGACACTTGTTTCGCTATCGTAGACGTAAATACATCTCTGGGATAGATCAATCTCCAGTGCGATCCAGTGGCTATCGCCCTCTTTGCAGAAAGGAACATAAAATTTTGTACAACCAGTCCACGACTTTCCATTATTGGGTATCTCCCCTGCGGCGTAACTACATAAGGCCTTCGGAAATTTTTTAGTCTTCGACATGTCTTTGAAGAAGCTTCTCACGTACGAGACAAAAAACGTGTCCAAGACAGCACAATCTTGTCTAAACAAGAGAGGGAACTGTTTACCACACTCTCGAATGTGAAAAAGCGCTTCATCTACATGCTAAAAATATAATGTTTATTAGATTAGTGAATATTATATTTTTCAAAGGTAAAAATATTGAAATTTTTTTTGTAAATAGTTTACCTCACTAGTAAGCCATCCATCGTTCACAAGTTGATTAAAAAAAACTTTACGTGCTGGACCACCAGAGGACAACTCAACTTCAGCACTACATAAAAAATTGATACGTTAAATAAAGACATACAATCTTATATATTATGATAAGTAGCCAACAATTAACTTAACACAACTACATACCTTTCAGGGTAGCTCGAAAACCACGTTTGGAGATCTTCAAGTTTAGCTGGATCCACTGGCCTATAAGGGTCATACTCCGTCACATTTCAAAATTTTTATTCTTTTTTAATATTCCTCAACGGAGTACATAGAACGGCAGCCTTCCTTTTCTTCCAGTGCCGTCTCCCCTTAGGAGACTCAAGATCTTCAACGGTTTCCTCTATCTCGATTGGTGTCGGCGGTTGTCTCTCTTGGTACACAACAATGGTTGATGACGAGTCGGTCACAAAACCTACAATAAGCAAAAAAACAATCAATACTCATTTATTTACAAGAATGCACCATCAAATTACGTAGTAGTTACAATTATACTTTACATACCCGTATCAAATCCATGAAGTCCAACCATTTCTTGGTCGGACATCGGAGATGGGGATTTCATCGTGTCTGTGAAATAGAAAAATAATTATATAATTCAATATTTTGTTGCATTTGTTTTAAAATATATTTTTCACTACAAAAAATATTACAATAATTTGTCCTATTTATTTTAACTAATAATCGAGTAATAACATTAAAATGATGCATTGATTCAAATAAAATAACTTTACCACATTCAACGGTCTCCGTATCCCGTACATTTTTCTCCACCTCAACATCCGGATCATCATTTGGTACATCATAAGTAGCACGGCTAGATGGTTTATCTTTTGCTTCAAAAAACTCATTCTTCATTCTCTCAAAGAAATTGTTCATCTCCTCCTTCACCACTTTTCTCACCCATCTCCTCCTTCACCACTTTTCTCACCTCGTCCTTCACCACTTTCCTCACTATATTTGCGATCTTTTCTTCATCCAAAACATGAGGTTGTGGTTCATCATCATCATCATCTTCTTCTTCTTCTTCTTCTTCTTCTTCTTCTTCTTCTTCTTCTTCTTCTTCTTCCTCTTCTTCCTCATCATCCACATCATCATCATCATCACCATCATCATCATCAGCTTTAGAAGATGCACTACCTTCTCCCTCATCTTTGGTCGCAGTGCCTTCTTCATCCTCATCTTGACGGACACTATCTTCTTCCTCGACAATTATACCCAATTCGTTGAAATACGAAGACTCAAATTCATATGGAGAGGGTTCCAACGTTCGTCGAACTTGAATCTGATTGTAATATAATTAGTTTTTTAAAAGTATAAGTATAACAATAAATAAGAAGAATAATCTATAACCAAAATTACCTCCGCCCTCTCGAAAAAAGCAGTAAGCAGTTCGCCTCGCAACTGTTTCTCCATTTTCCAATAGTACATTCTTGGAAATTGGACACCAATATTTATTTGGGCAAATTCTCTTCCTAAGTCGGGTAGCGCCTCAACTGCCCAAATCTACTTAGCAAATAAGAGAGCATAATTAAAAATACAACTAACACAAATAAATAATAAAGAACATAAATATAGATTTAGATGAAAAGTACCATAATAGCTAGGGGAAATCCATGCAAAGAATAGTTTATGGACTGTGGATTTTTTCCTTTCTCGAAAGAGGTCCGCTTGAACAACTTTACAGTCTGCTGATACGACAAGTTGCCCCAAGGATAACTGTTGAATTTTTCTAAATCTTCAACTAAATGAAACCATCTTTCATCTACAAGAATCTCGCACTGTAGACAAAACAACATGCTCCAAGACCGTCACGAGTCCCAATTTGTACTTCGTCTTCGCGTCTTTCTTATTATCCAGCTTACGAAATTTCTCGAGTAAGTCACTGCGTTTGATCTTCCCCTGCTTCTTCTTTACAGTTGCAAAATTGAACTGTTATTTTTGGGGACCTCGTACGCATTTTCATCATCCGCCGCAATCTTAAATCCGGTTACAAGACAAAACTCTTGTAACCCGAATCTAGCTTCTTTTTCCCCAAATCTAAACCACACGGCATCTTTGTCATTTTCGGACGCTTTCAATGTCCTACGAAGTACCTGGTGGACTATTTGCGAGGACAATATGATCTCGGGAATATTTATTAGTAGCCGGAAGCAAGACTCTACAAATCGATCTTTATGTGCATCGTCTAGATTGTCAAATACTTTTCTGACAACTTTGAGGTTGCACCGATTGGTCACGTTTGCTTTGCATTTGGAAGGTATATCAAACGCATATTCCTTTTTGGTTCCTAAAAACAGAAAAGAAAGACAACATAAGTCATAATAGATCAAGCAAGCAATAAGTACTTAAAATAGTGGCATAATCCTTTAATATAACCCAACTGGGTATTTTAGACCTGCAGTTCAAAAGTGCGTAAACTTATTTTAAATAAATATAATAAGATAATGTAATATACAACCAAGAAATCCAATCCTCTATGTTCAACTGTTAGGCTCCTTTGGTACCCTGGGCAATGCCTTGAACTTTTATATTTCAGTGGGTCTATAATTTGTTTCCTACTAATTTTACTATCAATGTGCATTAACCAATGAAAATACTTCTCCATGGTGGCTTTAGTTTAAGAGGGCGTTCAAAGTAAGAGTAGAATAGGACTTCCTATTTGGATCTCAATTCCACCTGATAGACATATATTAAATTTGTGGTGTAAAATAATTCATGTTGTCTTCTGTCCCATAAAGTACACACAGTGTCAAACACACACATACACATGTATGTCCTGTTTGAAGTTCTGAACCATACAAACACTACCATTGCCAGAAATACAGTGTGGAAGAATTTGAAGGCGAATTTAGGTACTCTGCTATTGGTAAAAGAGGTAAGATTTGTTAATCCTACAAGCATTTCAACAAATTAACCCCACTTTCATCTCTTTAAACCACAATATCAAAAAATTCTTCTTCAACATCATTCTTCTTCTTCAATTAACATATAACAAATAAACTCATTTTTCTTCTTCAATTAACACATAACACATAAACTCATTTTTCTTCTTCAACTTAATAAATCTAGCATGCTTGGAAAATAATTATAAACACAAAGGGTTCAACATCATTATACCCTTACCAAAAAAATATTAAGAAAAACTGAAAGAAAAATAGAACCCTAATAAATTCTTACCAACATTGACAATAGAGAGTTCCATGAGACAATTGAGAGAGAGAGCCGAGAGAGCGTGAGAGAGAGCCGAGAGAGCGTGAGATTTGAGCCGAGAGAGAGAAGGTAGCGAGAGAGGGAGGAGAGCAGAAAGAGTAGACAGAGAGAAAGAGAGAGAAGAGGGAATGGGCTATTCGGTTTTTTT